GTTGACGACACACACCTTTAAAGTGTGCAAATTCTGCTGATTGCGCAACACTCCCTGAAGTCTTGCCACAATGGAAGACATTTAAGCGAGCGTTGACGGTGCTCTTAAAATGTACCGTTAATTTCCCAAAGGCATCCGCATTGCATATCTAAAACATGCGCCAACGGCCAGGAGGGACCACGGGATGGCACAGTGTAGGTAAATTGCGTAGGTGTTGAGGTAAAAAAGGTTTCAATTCATTTTAAGCTTGATTCAAGTACGTGTCCAGGGGATAGGGCAAGCAGGTTTTAGCTCAAGTTCTTACACTGTGTGCGAGATAATACAAAGCTGAAAGGGTTGTAATAGATATACGGAGGGGAAGAATGGAAGATTGGATCTATAAAATAATGAAAAAGGAGAAGATATATAATATACATATATATCCCTGTCTCATTGATACACTCTTTATCCAGATTTCTGATTAAAGGCCATTCAATTACCATCCGGTTAATAATTCCCAAAATGGAACTTATTTCAACTCCAACTGATTATAATTGTGAGTGCCAGATAACTGCGGTTGACGGCATCAATGCATGTCAAGGATTTTTCGTCTACAACTTGACAGGCGGCAGCTACCGTGTGCACTGAATGTGGCTGAGGGGGGCATTGCACAAGTGCAAAGCACTGACGAGGACGCTCACTCAACTCGAGGGCTGTTCAGAGCTGATCAATGCAATGCGCTGAGAGCTCGATTCATAAATTGCGCATACGCCATGTGGAACAGCAGTGAAGAGTTGTTATTGCAATAGATGTGCCGTTGATATAGCTAAGTGGCAAAAATAGCTGCCAAAATGGCTTTGCTTGGGCCACTCGGAAACTGTTGCCAGATAAAAATGCATAATTAAAAAGGCAAAAGATGGGCGAGAGAATTTTATAGCTGCAGCCAGCAGGGCTGGGCGGTGGTTGGGCAACGAGTCGCATAAATTCGCATTCACCGCATCATAATGTCCGCAAATCCTGGCTCTGGTGCTTTGCAATATTAATAAGCACTCGAAAATGAAAAGGAGTCGTGCCAAGGCGTGTTCTGGCCGGGTCTTTAAGGAATTTTAATGGGCTTCGGTCAGGTCGATGCGGTGGGGGCCCAGAGCGGTCGGTTGCCGCAGTTTACCTTTTGCATATTTAATGCCTGAATTTTAATGAAAATTAAATCGAAATGTGCGACACCTGAGCTACACAATGCACTGGCGATTTATATTTAATCCTTTTGGCTAGCAGATGTACAGTGTCTTCCCTCCTTAACAGAAACCTTGGCGTAGGCCCTGGCGTCGGCGTCGGCGTAGGCGTAGGCGTGGCTCCGTCAGTCAAACGTTGTGCATACTACACAAATGGCAAATGGCCACGAGCGAGGCAAATAAAACATGGTCCGCTGATTGATGACTTTGACTTTTGGCCATAATTTATCATAGATATCAGGCAGCTCGCACTTATTGTCGTTGTTCTTGTTGCTTTTGCTGTTGCTGTTGCTGTTGTTTGGCTTTTGTCAATGGCAGCGAGAAAAACAGCAGCCCAGCGGCAACAGATGACGCTCATTTCGTTGAAAAATGCGCACAAAAGTGTCATAAAAGCCGAGCCGCGTCGGGCCGTGCCGTACCGTGCCTCAGCCGGGGCCCTGTCGAGGCCGAAAACTAATTGCAACAAATAATAAAAACTAATAGGCTGTCGAAAAAGGCGGCCGGCGGGCAGGTCGGAAGGCAGACACTGCTATCAGTCGTAGAATACATTCCACAGCCGAACACTCACACACACACAACATTTGCGAGTGAAAAATGACAAGGAAAATGGCCAAGGCAAAAACTGCAAGCAATGGCAATGGCAAAGGCAAAGATCATCATCATGAATCATCATCAGAGCAGTCATATGACACAACACACACACACAAGCGCACACACACATAGAGACACAAAACAGTTAGACAGTTGGCACTGTCTTCCACTTCAACTTATCCATGTGCAAGTTAATGTCCTGTCAAGAAGTCGCTGCCTCCAAGTTGCGTCCTTAAACGTCACAAATTGCTGGCATGTCGTGCCTGCGAATGCCGTGCATAAAAAGGGGATGACATGAGGGGGTGTGTGTGGTGGTGGTTGGGAGGCATTACAAGCGCATTATCTAAGCGCTTAGTTCAAGAAGAAACCAAAAGTTTTTGCCATGTACACAAGTATTCTTCAGAAGGTGCGAGAAACGCATTAATTTAACCGAAGTACCTCAAGTGACTCGAGTTGAAATTTGTTTACATTGTAAGAAGGTGCTTAAACCTAAATATGTAGGTCTGTTCCTGGGCATAAATCAACAAAGTTTAACTCTTTCCAGATAACATATACCATATTTCAATGGAGTTTTCAGCCTATGTGAATACTCTTTATAAGCTGTTTGTCCTGTCAAATGGATTGACAGACTGATTGACTGACTAATTGGTGATCACAGTTGGTAAGAGAAAGGAAGCCCAGGTGTTTATTGTAAGTTACCTTATGTGATGCAAGTGTGCATAGAAGGGATTCATGGAAAAGTCCACCCGACAAAATTGTAAACTGGATGGAAAACAATTAGATGAAACCATTTTTGTTTAATATCTGATCAAGTTAAAGTTTATTTGCAAAGATTATTGTGAAAATTTAAAGACTCATGATTGTATAAACAAAAGGCAATAAAAACAAAAAATTATGCCTTTAAAAGTTGCCCCACTATGCGATTCTCACAAATTCAAAGAGGAGTTACTTATTTTTATGATGTTAAGTCTCCTGCTTACAGGTGACAATAAAATACTCATTATTGTGTACTCATATTTAATTTTAAGAAACCGACACTCTAAAGTTATAATTTCTAATTATATATTTGTTTTTCCTTTAATGCAATCAGTAATTGATATATAGCCAAACATATATTTTGGGCATTTGGAAAAATTTGAATACTTATTAAACATATCTGTTTAATTCAAATCGTTAACAACGTGCTATAATATTTTTGCATTTTATCTCGAAATGATTAAAATTGGGTAGACGTATGAGTAATTTTAAAGAATGAGCCGAAATATGTCCGTTCGATTTGCCTTTTCTGTTAAATATTAAAATATTACTCACTTTTCCCGGAGATATATTTTTCGACTCATAGCTGGTAGGAATTGCAGTTCGTGGAAAAGGAATTGTCGAAATTCCTAGCCCAACAGACAAATGACAACAAAAACAACATCAAGTAAAGTTGTAATAAAAATAATTTTAATTATAATTATAATAAAAATAATTATAATAAGAATAATCATAATACTAATAATAATAACAATATGATAAAGTTGAGAGTTATGCACACGAAAATGTTCGACATCTCGTTTAATTTCTGTCAATTAAATATGTATGTCATTCATTCGTTAAATATTTCCATCAGTAATTCAATTTTATTATGTAATCACCAACTGTATGCTTAAATCATTGGGGATTTCATGCGCGAACCATGATTTTTTGTTCGATTAGGTACATTGGATTGATATAACTCGCTGGTTTACAGATTTGTTGTATATCTATCTAACTTTTACTTTATTTGCATTCAATTTTTTTTTTTTCATTTTCATCGGTCTTTCATTTGCCAGCTGCACACAGCGACTCACTTCAGGCGAGGGATACATCTCGCCGAGTGGCACTTTGGCATGTGCGGCCAATTAGTGATAGCAACGTCGGCTGCAAACAAATAAAAATCGCTGACGGCCAATTCCTGGCTCCACCATCCACACGTAAACCCACACTCGATAGCTGGCAACAACAATGCCAGACGCAGACGTTCCTTGCAACTGCATTTTGTTGCAAGCTGTGCACATTTTTATGAGTTTTGCCGTCTGTCCGTCCGACTGCATGACTGACTGCTGTGTTCAAATGGCGAAATAGAGACATGTTGGCTTTTCTGCTTCCGATTTGCAATAGTTGACGTTACCATGTGCCACAGCATGCATGTGTACGTGTGTGTGTGTGTGTGTTGATCTATGTGCAACTTTACCCATTGTTGCACAAACAAATCCTCGTACTGGCAGGCAGGCAGGCCACATATGCTAATACATGAACGCAGCCAACCATAGAATGTTCTCAGTTATATCACCACGGCCCCTCTATCCAACTAATCCCATCGAGGTTGTATCTCTAACCATTAAAAGTTTTAATCGATAAAAGTTAAACAGCATTTAATGTGCTAGACATTCAGATACGCATGTACATAATACGCATGTATATAAGTATATTAGACATGCGTCTAATATAATAACATACATATATATGTTTACCTGAAAGACTTAATATTATTATAAGCACCTGTATTTTGAAACTGTCTGCCCTAGCTGTATGACTGACAAATTGATTGATTGATTGATTGATGAAAATGAGAATATGCTAAGGGGCTAGGTTTTATGAGCGTAAGTTCCGATTTTTTCATAAAATACCATAGAACGGGAGCATTCAAAATTTCCCACGAAGAAAATAACTGGGGAGAGTACGGCTAACACCAGCCTATTATTGTGCAGTCCGCAGAAATTCTGCCTTACCGGGAAATCAGTATCCAGATACTGTAAAGGTACCAAATTTATTGAGATGATAAGCGGCAGATGCCCAATAAAATTGGGTTTGCCGTCCCTTACCCCTAAAAAGTGGAGTTTTGGTATCCTATTTGGCCACCATTTGGTATGGCTTATTGGGGTGCTAAATACATGTATAGGTAGTTTCCAAATAAATAAGATCGTCACACAATTTGCGTTATTCAGCTGCCCGGAGCTGTGGAAATGCGTTTCCCATTTTCCTTCATAAGCACTAATTGCCCTCAGGCTCTTTCTGATTGATAGATGGCAGACGGCCTAACAAAGACTTTTTATAGTTTCCTGTGGCTTTTTGCTTGTCTGATACTCAGACTTCGGACTTTGCTCATTCATAAAACTTAAGGCATCAACTAATCTCCACAACGTTTATCTTTACCCATTAAAGCTTGCGATGTGATAGACATATGTGCATGTATCTGCCATACTAAGATCTATCTTAAAGACTTTTTACCCAAATTTTGAATACTAGCAGATAGCGAAAGACATAACATATCAGCGTCAAAGGAGGCCGGATTGATCGATTCCAGCTGACGGGTCCCATTCCTGTCCACAACGAACACATCAAAGTTGCGCAAATTGATGATCAAACGCTTCTGGATCTCGGCCACGCACATTTTCAATATATCGTAGGCCTGGGCCTGCTTAAGCTCCTCTGTCCAATATCGCTGGAAGATGCTGCCGCAGAACAGGCTGCCCAGGCCGTGGCCAGCATGATTGATGGGCATTGCGGCGCCATATGAGTCTATATAGTGCAGATCGGGTCCCTCGATGACATCGTAGCCAGCCATTAGCATTGATACCTGATATCTGGTATTTGTTCTTATATAGTCCGCCAGATTCTTGCGCGTGAAGTGCGCTGTGCCGCGCGGAGTCAGATGGTAGTTATTGGATATCTTATATAGTTGCAAGTGCTTGGCTATATAATCGGTAAACTGTAGTGTGTCGCCGCCATCACCCACCGCGGCCAACATTGAAAACTCTGAGAGGCGATGAATTTTTGACTGATCTGTTTAAACATGGTTTTACAATATACTAGGTTCATATATATGTGCTGAGAGTGCTTTTCGTTTACCATCTTTCATAAAGATCACAGACTTTGCCTGCATTGTATCACAAGCAAGCATCACAAAATCCGTACCCTTTATGCCCAAAATCGTTTCCATTGCCATCGTGAAGTTTAATTTTGATATTTGTCCCCAAAAAAGCAAATAGTTTAAGCTACAAATTTAATACGTAAATGTGAATGAAATCATATTGATAACTCGATACAGTTAATCTCATAACAGCTTCAAGTAAATTCTAATTTGGGACTTCTTTTAAGTTTAGTGAAAGTGTCTCAATAAATAATATCAAGAGAAAGGGAGAGAGAATAGAAAAGGCAGAAAGAGAAAGACAAAGAGGAAGCAAGAGATAGTGAGAGAGAGCAAGGGAGAAAAAGAGAGTAAGTAATAGGGTTTAAAAATAAAGCTCATTTTAAAATATTTAAACCCAAAAATTCGCTCTGGTCGAGGCTTTGGAAAGCTTTTTCATTTGATCCCATATAAATACTAAGAAGCTTATTTACCATATATTTAAGAAAAAAAAGTAATCAAATGCGATTTGATTAGTGCATTTCTGTGCCTGTAAGTAAAGCTTTAATGTAGCAACATACTATTGTGTGCGGTCAAGATATTAAAGCTCCAAGAAAGCTTTCCGTGACATCTAAAACGTTTTTCGAAAAGCTCTGATATATATATTATTAATATATTGATTAAGCATTAATTAAAGCTTTAATGTGATTTTAAAGCTGTCTTGATAGCTTCTATTTATCGGTCCCATTGTCTGCGATCAGAGTACAGAAGGAATAGGCCGCCTTACAGTTGGCTAGAAAAGTGGTTAGCGCAATTGGTATAAAGTTGCCGGCAAGTTGTTTCGGCAGCTTCCGTGTTCGCTCTGCAAAGATAATCACATTCTTTCGATAGGCAATGCTCTGATCGACCCAGTTGCTGCTGTAAGCCGCATAGTGCAAACGTCCAAATGAATATTCGACTAGGGTGCCATAATAACAAACGGGAAATATTTGCAGGGCTAGCGCAAAAATAAAGGACGTATAGTAAAGACGCTCCTGCATGCTCTCCACATAAAAGAGCAGGGCGCACAAGGCGGCGCCCACATCAATGGAAATCACAATGAACTGGACCAGTAATGGCCACGAGATGACCTCCATGGCGAGCTGGTGCAGCCTGCCAGCAAACGGCAAGAGTTAGAACAGATTAAGTAATCAACAATTGAGCAACTTACCTACAGATCATCTGATGATCCCGGATGCATTTGATGAGCCTCTTCTCGTTGCTGCGCTGATCGCTTTGGTCGTAGCCAATAACTGAGAGGCGCAGGACGAGCTGCTCGCAATGGCCAGCAATGGGAATGAGCACCAAGGGCGGAAATAAATCATCGACAAAGTTCTGCAGGATTTGCATGGATATCGCGAGAACTTGATGCATCAGGGCAATGATGTAATTGCTCAGCGAATTGGTCCAGTCCAATGGAAACCAGGCCGGAAAGGGCAAAGAGCGTTGCTCGCGAAAAACAACGGATACAATCGAGTTGATGCCAATCAGGCCATAGCTCAATTTATACAATTTGGATATAATGCTCAACACTCGGCTCATCTTCGCATGGTAGGCCCGCTGCTCGTCTGTGTTCACGCGTTTGTCCAATTTGGCCAGCACCCGCTCGATCTCGGGAATTTTCCTCAGCTGCTTGACATAGATCAAAAACTTCACAGAGGTGGCCATCGAAGTGAGCGAAATGTTAAAGTTCATCAGATTATCCAGCGGCAGCTCAAAGCTTAGCGTCGTCAAAATAAGCATCACCGGGAAAGCTGCTGTGACGATGGCATTTAAGGCCACGGCTCTCCAGAAGCGATAGCTGCCCAGACTTCTGGCATTCAGCTCAACTGCGCCCAACAAGCGCCACGCCCACCAAATAATGTCGAAGTAGACGCTCCGTTTGTGGCCGTTGACTGACATAACTTGTGCGTTGTCCTTTCGAGCCAAATGTAAAACCAATGGGAACAAAACTCGCCGCTTTTATACCTGGACATCTGTGTGGACAGCATTTAACGGCAATTCGCGCAATTATCGACATCAAAGCCAAGCCTTGGGACGTTTAATTGCGAAAAGCCTTCTTATACCCTTCCAGAGGGTATTATAGTTTTGTAACACGTTCGCTTCCAGAGGGTACTTTTACTTTGAGCTCATTAGCAGAAACAATTTCTCGGCAGTTAAGCTTTCGGTTTCAATCAACTTTTTCTCTATAATTTTTATAAAACAATTCTACTGAAAATATTGCAAGCCATAAATATTTATATATAGAGGATTCAGGCTAGCTTTTTGGATCTTCCAAGGTTTTAGAAGATTAACGTAGAGAATAACTCTTTTTTAAGAACGGCGCGAGCACGCCAAATAGCTCGCGGAAATGGAAATTTAAAAGTTGTATTAGAAAAACGTTGTGTTGAAAACATTGCCAAGTAATTAAGGGTATTTGATCTGCGGTGCTATGAAATCAAAGATATATATATATAATTTAATTGTGAAATTAGTTCCATATGGCACAGTTCAGCCAAAGTTAAATGATACCGACATCTAGAGAGGTGGGGGTCAATCAATTTGACAGACCTTTTGGGGCAGTTTTTATAGAAAGTATTAAATTCAACTGTCTTCTTTTTTCTCTTGTTTCAAAACAGGCTTTGGCACATGCTCATTGCTTATTGGTAAAGGAGTAAGTAGGGGCATAGGAGCACCTATTGGCATTGCACAGAATGGCGGCAGCTCGCGGACTCCGTCCTTGTCGACAACAAAGACATCAAAGTTGCGCAGATTGATGACCAATCGGTTTTGGATCTCCACGACACACCTGCGAACTATGTCGCATCCCTCTTGGAATGTCAGATCTGGTTTCCACATCATATGAAAGATGCTGGTGCATATCGGATGGCCCAGTCCATGCCCGGAATAGTTGAGTGGCATTGTAGTACCTTGGGCGTCTATAAAACACAAATTCGGTCCAAACTCGGAATCGTAGCCGGCCAGCAGCATTGCAACCCGAGAGCTTACTTTGTTACGTATATTGTCAAGGATATGGTTGCGTGTGAAGTGAACAACTGTTGGCGTGTCCATGTCGTAGCCATTTCTGATTTCATAGAGCGAAATATTTGTTGCTATGAAATCGGCAAAGTGCAAGGTGTCGCCGTTATTGCCAACAACCGCCATCATGCTATTGCTTGAAATGGGGCGTATTTTTGTGTTGTCTGCAAGGAACAACCGCTGCTTAGCTGCTCAGCACCCTGCAAACCAGGTATGGCATACTTACTGTCCTTTAAAAAAAATATAGATTTTGCCAGCATTGTGTCGGAAGCAAGCATGACAAAATCCTTTCCCTTTATTCCCAAGACTGTTTCCATTATGCTTGGATGTTAAAGTTAAGAAATATAAAAATATAAAATAATCGGGATTTGGGCAAAAGTGAACACGATATGAAGGTCGGAATTAGTTGATGGCTTAAACAAAAACTACTTGAGCTTAAAACTACTCAGAAATGAAAATCAGTTTACTATTTGTATGGGAATAAATATGACGAGCTAGAAAACAGGTATTTATATATTATTATTATTTCACTCAGTCCTTAAGGTATAGAGCTTCTTCTGACTTCAATATTCTTCGTGGTCAATATACTCTGTTATATGTACAATATATTATATAAACAGGCTCAAGGTTTAGTATTATATGCTGAACTAAGTAAAGCGAACTCTAGAATTCACAATATTATTAAAATATAAACGAAAGATATGCCTTAAGTAAAGATAGCTCACAAAATAATTATTTCTAATATATTTTGCAATATTAATGAAAGGCATTACACAATATGAACTCGAATAAGATGGATTAATATCGATATGAGTATGGCTACACCTGATGGGTTGATTGCACGTAAAGTTTACAATTTAAGCTAGATAATCCCACCCAGCTCTATCGTAATGGTCATTGCCTGTGGCAATTGCGATTGCCGCCTGTCGCGAAACTGCATTCGCTTCCATCGGGAAACGAGTGGCTCATTCTGAATAAAAAAAGCGCTGGGGGAGAATACTTAAAAAGCACTTTCATTTCACAATAATTTTCAGCTTTTCCGCACTTGAACACGCTTTCAGGCATTCGGCATTGGGTTTTGGTTTTTCATTATTCGGGCGCTGCATTTTACTGTCTCTATTGTTTGAGATTTTAATGTGATGAAAATGCGCGCATTTCTGTGTAATTATCGCATCTATTTTTGAAATGGAAATATATTTCCGCAATTGAGAGCATATTTTCTAGGACTCTTAAAATAATAATGACGTCCAATCTCTTTGTTGTTGCCTTTTCAATCATTATAAAATAATTTACGCTGCAATTAAACGCCAGCATAAAGCCGCAGATGAGAGCCAAACAATATTTTAATCTTTACTTTTACAGAACTATCCATTGTGATATCCTATATAATATTTTTAAAGCGCTTGGTATTGGCTGTATCCGAGCATTTGATGGTGATTATTTTTCGAATGACCGTTTCGCTGACCTTGCACTTGTGCTGCACCAGCTGCACAATATCGCTGACCTTCAGCGGATCCAGTATATAATCCGTGGACCTCATGCGGCCCATTGAGCCCAGCTTTATGCCCGAAATATTCCTTGTGGCCAGAGTCTGCTTGTCGAAGACTGCGTCCAACAGAGCCCGCGTTGCCAGCGAGTAACAATCCCAATTTATGCGCTGAAAGGCGGTCCGATCGACTCTTGTCAGGTTGGGGCCAATAAAGATTGTAGATCTTTCTTTTTTAGTGTATAGCCTCTTTCTTTCCACTTTTGGTTTTGGCAAAAATTTCACTACACGATTCGCTGTCAAGTCGGTGTATTCCGGCAAGGCGCTTTTCAGTTCTTCCAAGCGCAATTGTATAGCTGTCAGACGATCCGCAGGTTCGGTTTGTGTAGCTCGAGATATAACCGACATGGCAGTTGGACTGAAAATACAAATAATAATCTAAGAAACATGTGTACAAATAAATACGCAAGCGCTAACCTAGGATGGAGTAACTCTTTAAACTGAGCAAACCGATTTGCAAGTTCTCGTATATGTGGAACGATGGAATGAAACATATCGATATATCGATAAGTGTTATTAGGATTCTAAGCATATAAGCACGAAAAACAAATGTGCGCAAAAATTGTTAGTTAATGTTAGCAAAGCTTGGGCTGGTGGGCCCATGAGGTTGTGCGGTTCTCCTTGTTGTGTCATCTAAAATGGAAAATCGAAGCAGCATGCGCTTCATGCACTCGGAGGAGGAGGAAGACGAGGACCAAATGAAAAGAATATCCATGTGTTTTAGTATGGAAATCTCGGAGGTTGTACAAAATCGTAACAATAATTTTGACAAGGTCGTTACACCAGATCAAAATAGTGAGTTAATTAATATTTGATAGCTTGGACACTCCATTCATCATAGATTGCATTCTAGGGCGAAACCCAGGCGGAGGTCTATTTGGAGCTGTAGAAGATAAATACAATAAGGATAGTTCGATGTCTTTTGCGGTGCCAAACAAATTTTTTGCCGAAAGTCGTAGTTTTGTGAGTGGGTTGGACCAATATTGTAGACGGTCAAATTCAACACGTAGGAGGTCGATTACGAGCTTGGATCACCTTAGCTATAAACAAAAGACCAAAAGTCTAAGGGAACCCTATAAGCCTGAGCGTTGTCCAAAGTACAATAATAAACGGACAAGTCAATTACCGCACAGGCGAAACCTCATGGAGTCTTACGAATGCCCAAGCCGATTAAACTTGAACTCGTACGAAAGAAATTATAATCCTCTAATTTATAAGCAATACAATGAACGGACTCACAGAAAACCTAAACGGGAGCTATTAGAAGAAACGTTAAAGGACCCATTCCCCGAATTTGGCTATAATAGAGAGCGCTCTCGCGAAAGGGATCATTCAAAGAAGGTGCGACACGAAAAGTACTATGAAGGAAACAATAACTTTTATAATGCTTTTTATAACTGTGACTTCCCGACGAAGGTGACTGATAAATCATACAGATTAAATCCCTCTGGGCGTATTGAGTATACTCATAATAAGCTATTAAACAAAGCTCCTTACAAAGAAAAGAGGCAAGCTTCTGGTTATACAGATCCTTATTATATGCCAGCTTGTAATGAATACAACTATTATAACCCCGAGGCAATGTATTCGCCAGTACAGTACGGTTCTGGGTGGGACTATTACAATACGGCAATTCCAAGGGCTGGAAATTACTATTACCCAAAGCCCAATAGATGTAATGATTACGATTATGATTATTATGAAGATCCTGAGATGTATAGATGTCCACCCGCTCGAACGAAATCTGTTGACTTTTTCGCTAAGGATTGTGAGATACCATATAACATATTAAAAAAAGCAAGAAAATGTTCAGCAATGCCCAAACAAAGATATTGTTATCCAGAATACGAATCATGCTCTCGTGCTTCGGCTGTTGAAATCCCCTATAAGAGAATGAAGCGAAAATATATCTCAAACTGTGAATTTGAGCCGGAGCTGAACCGCTCAGACTCGGGTTGTGATATCTATAGCATGAACTACCCACAAAGGCCGGTCAAAACATACATTGAGCCTTGGCCTCCAAGTAGCTGTCAGAAGTCATGTCATGGCTATAATCCTTTAACGCGGCCCAGTCATTCACAGTTTTGTGACGTGCCTCGAAAATGCAACCAGAAGTCGCTTAAGCAAAAGGTCTCTGGATTTTTCAAACGGTCCAAATGCAAGTCTCGTCTAAAATGCTGCCGGAGGTACAATCCGCGATACGGTTGCATGGGTGAGGCTTCAGTCTGCAATCTGAACAGTATGCATAGCAAACCCTGCGTTGATTGCTGCAACTCTTTCAGCAGCATATCATGTGGTGTAAGGAGTGGGCGGTATCCAAACTGCCCCAGAAAACCCAGCTGTTGCGGCACATCGATCCGGAAAACAAGATGCGCCGCTTACCCAACGGTATACAAAAATAGATGCTCGAAGAGATGTGGTGACGAACTGTCCTGCATGTCATGCACCACGTATCGTCCGAAGGTAAATAACTCTAAGTTTGAGTGTGAAAACGAGGCAGTTTCTAAATGCTGCAGTGAATATTGCAGAAATTTGGACGAGCCATCGTGTCAAGGTCCTGTTTTTCTTCAAAAAGCAGCATGTGCTGAAGCACCCAGCTCTTGTGGATGTGCCAATGCGGATGTTGCCCCTAGCTTCTGTTGCCCTACTAATAACGATGCAAATAAGGATCTTGGATGCTGCACTAATAGCTGCCCAAATAATGCTGAGGCACCTACACCTTGTTGCTTGGAACCGAAGGTTGTTGCGCGGAGATCTTGTTGCTCTATCTGTTCCAAAAAGGAAAATCCAACTGTGCCTAGTACTATAAATTTACGCCTAACTATTTGCACCACCAGCGGGAACTTGGTCCAACCGCCCACAATCACAACAACATTGGTCGAACCCGATTGCAAAACATGCAGTGTACCAAGATGCCAGTTGGAGTCGAGAACCAATATCGCAGACAGATGCCAGTTGGAGTCGAAATGCCATAGTGGACCAAGATGCCAGTTGGCTTCAAGAACCAACAGTTGTGTGGCAGTATCGGATATGCCGAAGCCTTGCTGCTCCCTCCAAAAAATACCTTGTTGTTATCCCAGTGGACTTACATCGAAATGTATTAAGCCTTCAGTATCGGAACAGCCCAACTGCGATTGCTCTTGCCACATGATACCTTCGACTTGTCCCATCAAAACGAATTCTGCATGCAACCCCGTGTGCTCGGGAAGTAAGTGTAACCTAACCATATCAAGACCCCCATTGCCCTGTAACTCTAGAAGCAACTGTAGAGTAACCGTGTCGGAGTCCATTCCACCTTCGCCTTGTTTAAGCTGTACGAGTATTGCTTGTACGGAAAATGACTTTATGAGCGTACGCTCCAATCAATGCAAAGCAACAACTCCTAAAAGCAGCACTACCTGCATAAAAAGCATCCTTACGCCAAAGCCCATACTTTCCACATCTAAATGCGAGCAACCGAAAACTGGCTGTAAGAAAACCAGTACCATATCTTTTAACATAGTTGAGCCAAATCAACAATGCAGCAGAAATATCGCTGATAGTCGTGCTTGCCTGGAATGCACACCATATAGGGGCAGAGCTATGGACGCCTGCCAAGAGTCTACCAATCAGGAAGAATCGTGTTGCTGCAAATGTTTAAAGGAAATCCAATCGTGTAAATCGGTTGCCCAGTGCACTGTAAATTCTCCACAACCAGCAACTGTACCAAACTATGACAAGGAGGAATTGGTCTGCACCTCAAATCCCCTGTGGAAAAATCAAGAAGCATGTGGCAATTTGTGTTGTCCGAAGCTTAGCAGTGATCAGAATGCGAATTGCGACTGCCGTCCATCGTATGTGGAGGATCTGAAAAGAGAGCTTCTGGAAGCGTTGAGGAGCGAACAACGATTGAATGCTCAACTACAATTTCAGCAGCCAACGCCGCAAATTAGTCTGTTTCCATGCGTTCCAGAGGCCCAGCCATTCCCCATATGCCCAGCACGTGCCAACCCATGCTGCCGTGCGGAACCCGGTCTGAAATGCTGGGCACCGCTCTGATCAGAGCCACACCAATGAGCTGAATAACTCGGAGACCCAAAGCCATTTGTGTTAACAAAAATATATCAAAACATTTATTAGAAAATAAAGTCAACCCCCTTTTCTAGCTGAGGTAGAAGTTGAGTCAGCTGTCGCCCTTAATGGAGCCTGTATGGTCAGAATACCATTGATGGCCATTTTAGCGCTCAGATCGATGTCAACAATGTCTGGTAACAGGAACTTTCTATAGACTTCCATAAACTGACCTGTTTGCTTGCGATAGGCTTGCAATTTGACGCATCTATTCTTAAGCTCCAGTTTGATGTTTTTCACCGGAAACTCGCTCATGTCGAATTTCCAGATTAGATGCGTCTCCGTCTTCATATAATTGATGAACTGATCTTGATTCTCTAGAAATTGTTTCTCCTTCTTTAGCTTATTAAGTTCTCGGCAACAATCAAGAACCTCCTGCTCGAGTTGCTGTATACGCCTCTCATGGCTGGAACGCATATCGTTGAAATGCCGCGGCATAGTGGAAACGTTGACAATGAGAACGCCAGCAAACGCAACGATACGAAAAATAATGACGATAAAAACAATCGATAATTTTGGGAAACAAACAGAAATAGAAACGATAGCAAAAGCAGCTGCAACTCCGTTGAGCAGCAGAGAATCAAAGAAAAAGCGTGCAAATTGGACATCGGACAATCGCTGCTCTTCCTTCCACTTACCATGTTTGGCCAGCCGACTAGTAATGGGAGCGAGGATGTCGTTTATATACGCCAATACCGTATCATCAACAAAATCGGCAATGGAACCTTTGGCGACATCTTCATGGCCGAGGACGAGACGGATGGCCGGCGCGTAGCACTCAAACTGGAGCATATTGGGGCGAATCATCCGCAGCTACTTTTTGAGTTCAAACTATATAAATTTCTGCATTCGGGCATTGGGATACCGCGTGTGCATGATTTTTTTACTGAGCCCAAATACAATGTGATGGTCATGGAGCTGCTCGGCCCGTCGCTGGAGGATCTGTTCAACTACTGTTCGCGCCGCTTCTCGCTTAAGACGGTGCTCATGCTGGCTTTCCAGATGATCGAACGGATTGAGTTTGTGCATCAGAAGAGCTTTCTGCATCGCGACATCAAGCCCGATAACTTTGCGATGGGCGTCGGCAGCTCTAACAATCAATTGTACATAATTGACTTCGGTCTGGCTAAAAGATACTACAACTCCGCACTGAACGAGCATATACCCTTTAAGTGGGGTAATAGGATGACGGGCACCGCGCGCTACGCCTCGATCAATGCACTTCTGGGCTTTGAGCTAGCCCGTCGCGATGATATGGAGGCTCTGGGCTATGTGCTCATCTACTTTCTGCGCGGCAGCTTGCCCTGGCAGGGTCTATCGGGGCCGAAACATCAGAAGTACGAGATGTTGGCCGAGAAGAAACAGTCGATCAAGCCGGAGGAGCTTTGCAAAGGCTTTCCGGATGAGTTTGCCTCGTACCTGATCTATTGTCGCAATATAAGATTCGAGAAACAGCCGAACTATCTGGGCCTGCGGCGCAGCTTCAGCGATTTATTCAATCGCCTCAAATATGAGAATGATGGTGTTTATGACTGGCATACAATACAATCGATTAAGGATCAGAGCAGTAACGAGAATAAGGCAATTGACAACGAGGAGCAGGAGCCCGACGAGTCTGTTTATAATTGATTTTTGCATATAATTATATTCTGAGAGAGAGAGAGAGTGTGTGTGTTGTAATAAATGAGGACTTTTCTTATGGCCAGGATTTTCTGGTTGCAATCCATTTTACAGCCTGTCAAACGTCCGAGCTGCCAATTCGAAATAGACAATTCCAACTTTTCCAAAATGAGTCCAATTAACACAACTCAGATTTGTGCAACGTTTGCATTTTGTGTGTGTGTGTGTGTGTGTGTGGATGGGTGGGCGTCGTCCTGGTCGTGCACAGGACTCGAAGCAACTGCCAGAAATGTCTGTCAGAGCCAACATTGCAGCTGGAGCATTCGTAGCAAATGAAAACGTTGTAAATGGCAGCATCCAATTTACGTTTGCAATTAAACTGACACCGAACAGACACTTTTGATTTAGCCTGCAGTTCTCTGACTTTCCCATCCGAAATCCTCCCCCAACCCAGCTCCATTGGGACCTGGTTGCACATAACACGACATAATAGCTGCAGATCTGCTTAAACCCAATCTCGCCCATAAAACGTCAATTGCTGCACAGTTTATCTGTATGACGATTTATTAAAATGTATGTCTAGGCACACATTAATTCCGGCTGTGGTATGATTCTTCCAGTTGGGTGTGGTTTCGGCTTCCTCGACAGGCAGGCAGGGTTGTCTCCAATACGACAACCATTCGGCGGCATCTGAAGATGTTTGTATAATCAGCCATAATTATAAATTTACTATTCTGCTGTTTTTTTTTTTTTTTAATTAAATTTTGATCTCAATTTTATTTCTGTAGGCTTACGACGTCTAAAAGTTAATAGAGCTTTAGATCAACTCCAACGCATGGCCAACTCACAAATCATGTCAAGAGTGAAATCATTTTGTGCTAACAGTCCCTGCCTGGCTTGCCACAACACAAGTGGGTGTAAGGCGATGAAAAAACAATTGCATGCAGCACAAGAGCAAGGTTTTAACACCCTGTAAATGTAGAGGGGAAGAGGGTATCTTGATGACTAGTATGTGTGGGACGTAAGATAAAACAGGCACCTCCCTGGTACATATTGTATATCTTTCTTTGTCTCATTCTCGTTGATCTTCAGGGGAGCTAACGAGCATCAGGGTTCAACTTCCATTGAAACACAATAATAATTGCGTAAAAATATTTAACAATTCTCTTTATTCTCGTTGTCAAACTACGTCAGAGATTCTTAAGGTAGATCGAAGAATGCCAGTTCGAATCCAAGGGAAGGTATGCATATTCAATTAAGGAATGCCGTAGTAAATAATTAAAAATAATAATGAAATGATTTACATTTTCCAATATATTAATATTTTAAATTACCAGCACACATTGTCTTAAATATTTATAAATACATTTTCATTTATTAAATGGGTTTAGTTTATTAAGAATCAATGAGTATATAATAATCAGAAAATTATACGATTAAAAATATGTGTTAGCATATTCCAATCTATATTATAAATCAAAATGCGTATAGGGTATTTGTCAGTCATGTTTTCTAATTTCATAATAAGTTATTTCTCTATATTTTTTGTTGCTGCACATAATTACATGAAAAAGAAAATTAGTGTCGAGATTTGCGCTTTTGAGCATCTCACCAGGTGAAAACTTTTAATGAGCATTTTCTTACAAATTTTCAAGTGTTGCCGCATATAATTTTTTAATTAAAATTTTTCGTATCACGCTTGGGATATTAGCTTGCAGCAATTCCTCTGACAACACGACAGCCAACCCTTAAGTTGAAATATATTTTTCAAACTGACCGCCAGGCAATACCAGAAAATACGAGCATACTTAGACAGGTGGGATAACTGGCTACACACTTTCAGCATCAATCAGGGCAAGGCCTGCCTGAAGAGCTGCTTGCTGTGTGCTTATATTTATCGGACAGGACCCCATGTTAATGGCCAATTGACACGCCACTTGGCTTTGACGGGCGTGTAGCAAACCCGCTTCGACGGCTACAGCAACAGCCACTGGGCTGGCCGCAAAAGACGAAATGTTTTTTGCTGCCACGCTTAACATGTGTGTGTGTGTGCGCGTGTGTGTGTGTGTGAATTTGTGTGTGTATGGGCTGGTCAGCAATGAATTTGGCTGCCTGCACCCTTCCTGCCGTTGAGCCTATAATGAGGTGCTAACTGAGCGTGCTGATTGCTGCCATTTTTGATAAGGTGTCCGCATTTATATTTCTCTTGCGTTTATTCACACCGTTTCGAGCAGCCCCAAACAGTTAACATTTTTCTGAAGGTGTGTGCATAGATAAGCAAAAAAATCATCTGGATATTGTCAGGTCAATTTTTTAGGTGTGCGTTTAAGAAAAATATTAACAGAAAATATATTTTCATTTTACTTCGAGCTTAACTATTTTGATTCATTTAATATTCGTTGTCCGATCTGTACTTGAGATTACTTTTCATAATGTTCTTAATTATTATGAAATCCTAATTATTATTTATTAATTTTACTTTTCTTATGTTTTTAATTAGGCAACCACAAGGTAAGTCTTTATTTTGCTATCGACTTGTCCTTTCTTCGAAGCTTTAACTTGTTGAGAATTGCAAGCGTCAAGTAACGAAAAAATTACAGCCTGCATACAGGAGGCTATATTCTGTTTCCCCCTATATTAAGTACCACACAGATAGTATGTTGTTGTTTTATTTGTATAAAAATAATCAACATCAATCTCAAACCGGCCAGCCTAATGTAAATAATATTTTATGGTTCTAGTTATTCATAACATTATTCTTATTCAAATACACCAGATATTAAGTATACGTTTTGCTGCCACCCACATAATAATTCGAATCTGGATCTTTGTCATTTCCACCATGTGTTCTTTTTTCATAAGTTCCCTATTCTGACTTCAAGTTGTTTAACATTTAAGTTTCTATGTTTTCAATATTTTAAATCTTATATTTGATTGTTTACATATTGTGTGGTTGTTCGTAATGTTATATTACTCATTATATTATGAATGAACCTCAGACTGTCTTCAATTGAATTCAATTGATTATTGATTAATATTTTTGCTTTCATATTGACATCGAAACACATTACAGACTTTGCAAATTGAATTGCCCATCGTCAATAAAACATTGCATTTGCCTGCAGTCGCAGGACCACGCCTTTTATTCGTATATGTGTGTACATGTATGTGTGTGCATCACAGTTCAAAAGGCATTGGAGACTGGCAGCGTTGCAAAAGAAATGTGCACAAATTGCACTTATAAATAAATCAAATAAAAATATCTTGTTATTATGGTAGAAGGGCACACTTGCTGTCTTCTCCTTGCTGTTGTCCTGCATTTTGCAGTGGTTTCCAGCGCAATATTGCGTTCCAAATTGAGTTACATTTAAATATTTTGCTATTTGCAACTGCCACGTCCTTATGCACGAGCACCACTCCAACACACTCACTCCACTCCACAGCCTGCCCGGTCCATTCCACTCCAGTTCCAGATTAGTTATGCATGTGTGCGCAAATAGTGTGTTCAAATAGTTTTCGTTGCCAATTTTCATCTTCAAGTAGTTAGAATCGATTGCTTATCAAAATGCATGGAGGAGGCAGCAAAAAGCACTGAAAAAGTGTAAATACCCGATTGTATATAATATGCACATTTACAAAGCGTATTTGCTGTCAGGTGTTAGCCGCTTTTTCCCGGACCAAATGTATTTCCCAAAAGTTAACCGCTTTCCAAAGTTTTAAAATTGTGTACATATATATGTATTAAAATCCCCTTAAACACCAAACAGCTTAAGCAATTCGAAAGTTTTCCGTTTACTATTCAACCTAATATGCGGAATAGAATAAAATAATAATAATTGTAATTTCTTTCACGAATATTAAATTAAGTTAAAAGTAGAACATTTGATTTTGTGAATATAAACGTCAGGTTCTCTGGCTCTCATTAACC